ATATGCAATGGACTATTACCCAGCCGTAAGAAAGAATGAAATCTTGCCACCTGCAACACAGATGGATCTATAGGGTATAATCCTAGGTGAAAAAAGTCCGTGAAAGACAAATATCATATAATTTCACTCATGCAGAATTTAAGAAACAAAACAAATGGACAAAGAAAAACAGACAAACCAAAAAAATCCCCCCTTTTATCTATAGAGGACAAACTGATGGTTACCACATTGGGGAAGTGGGATGGGTGAAAGGGATTTGAACACTTATCATGATGAGCACTGAGTAATGTATAGAGTTATTAAATCACTACAGTGTACATCTGAAACTAATAGGATATTGTATGTCAATTACACTGGAATTAAAATCAATCAAATGGCTAAAGGAATTTCTCCAAAGAGAAAGGCAATAATAGAAGGTGGCTTGAAATTTCAGGAAGAAAAAAACCAATAGAATGGGTAAAAGATAAGGGATAAAGGAATAAAATCAGTTTATATACAGGGACGCCTGGGTGGCTCACTTGGCTAACTGTCCAACTCTTGGTTTGGGCTCAGGTCATGATTCCAGGGTCGTGAGATAGAGCCTAGAGTATGCTTGAAGATTCTCTCCTTCTTCCCCCCCCCCCAACTCTCATGCTCTAAAATTAATAAATCTTAAAAAAAAAGATACTAACATCAAACATCTTAGAGAAATGTCGATTAAAACTAGCTGGGAAAAAAATCCCACTTAGTATTAGGCTGGCAGAGATTAAAGAGTTTGACAATAGATGGCTTTGCAAAGTATATAAGGGGAATTTATTTTTTTATATTCAATGACAGTGTCTACCAAAATTACAAATGCATTTTTAATCTATTAATTCCATTTTAAGAATCTGACCAAAATTCCATACGTTTTGAATGATACACAAAATGTAGGAATGAAAACTGATGGGCAGACTGGAAAAAGCCTTTTCATTAATGATGCTTTGTGGCCTCTGAATGTGAAACCAAATGAATATATTAAATTTTAAAAACTGTAGATACTGGGGTGCCTGGGTGACTCAGTTGGGATTAAGCCTCTGCCTGGCTCCTGCTCAGTGGGGAACCTGCTTTTCCTTCTCCCTTTGCCCCTCCCCTTCACTCAAGCTCTCTCTCAAATAAATAAAATCTTACAAAAAATAAAAAAAATTATAGATGTTTTAAAACTTCCAAGTATGGCAATAATGTTTTTCATAAAAAAACCCTCCTATATTGCATAACTATTTACACAAAATTTGTTCCAAAGTATCTGTAACATTTAAGTATACTTATGATAAAGTCAAAGACTACTAAAAGCAAAACCACAAAGCAAGTTGAAAATCATAATGGATGAAAAGAAATTACAAAGAGTTACACTTCCAACTTCAGGGCCATTTCTGGATAATTATTTTTTAGATTATGTAGTTTGCTTACCATCAGGTAAAAGAATTTCCCAAACCTAAACACGGACTTTTTTGGGGGGTTGGGGTAGGGTGTAATCTCATTAATTAGGCATTGCCTCTACCAGTATGATATGAAGGTAAAAAAACAAGCTCCAGAACATTTTTCTTGTAAAAATCTCCGGTAAAAAAATGCTCCCTTATTCATTTTTATTTGATATCTATAGATTTTACACCAATGAATTTCATGTGAAACCTTTATATTAATGGAACTTTCTAGGGAATCATCAAATAAGATCTGAAATAAAGAACACAACTACTGGGGATCCCTGGGTGGCGCAGCGGTTTGGCGCCTGCCTTTGGTCCAGGGCGCGATCCTGGAGACCCGAGATCGAGTCCCACGTCGGGCTCCCGGTGCATGGAGCCTGCTTCTCCCTCTGCCTGTGTCTCTGCCTCTCTCTCTCTCTCTCTGTGACTATCATAAATAAATAAATAAATAGATAGATAGATAGATAGATAGATAGATAGATAAATAAAATTAAAAAAAAAAAAAGAACACAACTACTCCCAAAATAGGTCTCCATTAGATATTTTCATTTCATATTACTGGTCTCATCTTCTAAACAGTTTCTAAGTTTAATATCCCACCACTTTCCAGTAAAAGTGCCATGACCTCTGCTCTTCATTCCAGGTTAAGGGCAATGAATGGGATTCTGTTGCCATATACATGAGTCTCTGGTGTTCTTTACAGTCTCCTGAGTGTGTAAGATTCCCTAGCTGCTTCCCGAACTCTGTTCTTTGTGTATTGACAGGCAAGGTTTCCAACTACACGTATGCAAAATTTCTGCTCATATAACTATTTGTTGTCGTGTTGCCACAACTCAGCAACTTGTGTTTCTGTAATATAGCAGCAGTAGCCCTGTCTCTTGTTGCAAGGTATACAGACCTCTATTTTAACAACTCCAGCAAACTCTGAAGAGTCCAGAATGACCTGAGGTCATGCCAACTCCTGAAAAACCAGTAAGTACCTTGACCAAGGAAGGTAGTGGTTTCATTCTCTGGTGTCTGTGTTCTATCCTCCACTCTACCCCATGACAGTCTCTACAGAAATGCATTTTTTACTAGCCTCCAGTGTTCCATTTCTGCATCTGTTGGAAGGTTCTTCTCTGGACTGTGAACCTTCTCAGACATATTCAAATAGTTACAAAAGGCAGAACTTCCAAACTTGCAACAGCAAAAGGAAAAAGGCCCAAGATTGCCCAGACTCACCAAGACCATATACAGGTGGGCCCAGACAGTCAGAATTCTTCAGAAGTCTTTTTGTTTTCGTTCAGGAAGTTAGAAAAAGAAAAGAAAGATTCTGTATTTATTTTTTTTTAAACTGGGGTGTAAATCTCTCAAACAAGGTTTTAAATATAATGATGATGAACACCACAGTGTTGCCCAAAATTTTGTTTCTTACTTAAAACTATAAGGAGGCCAACAAATATAAATTGGATGTGAGACACAACTCTGCCTAAGAAAAGACTATATAGATACATGACAAAATCCATTCTCACCAATGTCCTGAATGGTAAAGGACTGTAGGGTAACAGGTTCCAAACTATGTGACCTCAAATATAAAGATCTTTTCTTATTTTGACAGTATGGTCCAGAACAGAGTAGACATGGAAGCTGAGGCTCAAAACAAATCTGACCTTTTCAGGAACTCCTGGGCAGACACTAATAAAGGGCCAAATGTTCCCCCTCAACTGCTGAAACAGGTAAGGGCAAGATGTGCTTCCTTAGCAAGAGTCTGAGGAACACACACTAAAAGTTGCTACATCAACTTTCAGCACAACTTCCTGGTCATAATGGCATTGGCAAAATTAGCATTTATCTCTACAACTGGAAATACATTATAAAAACATAAAAAACAACATATAAAGAGTGACACTCATTCACTTTTTCATTCTTTCAAGCAAATATTCAAAAACTGACCTTTTATTACCAAAATTTATTAGAGAATCTATGATAACTGCTTACGGCTTAAAATGTATATTTTTATTAAACTAATTTCTTTCTAAATATATAAATCACAATATCCTCAACTTTTATAAGCAGAGTAGATCCTAACATAAGAGATCTTATAGCCTACAAAATATAAGGAAAAAACCCTGATTTTTAGTAGAGAATAAAAGATATAAAGATTTCCTAGATGATGAGGGAAGAAATAATGCCTTAAATGAAAATATTCCAATTGTACTAACAATACTCTGAAGAATTAACTATCAGGTATCAGGGTCTAAAACTTGTAAACATCAATACAGATTGCTTTTTAGTTTAGTTTTTTTCTTTTTTTTAATATAAGTTATTCAGTAACATCTCATTCTTTACTGGATCCTCACAAACATAAAGCATACACTATACCTGTTGTTTGTATATAAAGATAGATAGCCCGGCTCATGAACACAAAGAAGTTACATAAACACTCCTATTATGCTGCAGCATATTCCTGCAATGGTTTACAAGGTATATAGGTATATATTCGAGGTATATATTTACAAGGTATATATTCGATATGACAGAGAAGAAAAATGAAATCATCAGAATCAAAGTGGAATACAGAAACAGAAAATTAAGAATAGCTTTCTCTAGGATATCTTAGGTCTTTTAAAATTAAAACAAATGTGCATATTTCTAAATGATACAAAGAAATCAGTATACCTGAAACTTGAGAACAGAATGTTCTACTTAGAACAATTTTGAAAGGAATGTTAAAGACTTTAATGAGTTAACAATACATAATAGAAAAAGCTCTAGATCTGGAGCCAACAAGCTTCAGTTTGAAACTTAGCTTCCTGATGTGGTAAATAACTTAATCTTCTTGAATACCTTCATCTGTAAAATGGGGGAAATACTACAGGGTTATTGAGGATCAGAAAAGATTACAGATGACTCTCACATTTGTCAGACACGAAAAACTAAATATTGGTATTATTATTCTCTAGACTAGTAAGAAGGGGAAGAATAGAGTCCATTTATTATTTTGTTTTCTCCACAGGGAATCTCATCCTATTACTTTTAGAGTAACAGACCCAATATCTGTAATAAATGATAACAGTTACATATTTCACATAGATGATATAAACAAAACAATCACTTAAAACAAAGTTCTTACCATTCATATAATATCATATCAAACTACTGGTCATATTAACTTAAAATATTCTGGTCTAAGTAAAGAAGTTTCTCAAATATGCCAGATGCTTCTGAATCTCAGTAGAGCATGAAGGGAAAATAATTTATTCCATTAAGTTTCTTAGTCTATGTCATTCTTTTAAATTTTCACCCTCCCCCTCACCGTGTCTTTCTCTAGAAGAATATTTCTTTACCATGCTATTTAGACAACTACCATTAAAAAAAAAACAAAAAACAAAGTGGAAGAAGGATAAATTACAGCAAATAACAATTAAGTGATTTCATGGTAAATGAAAAGTGTGAAGATAAAACACATTTAAAAACACAAATGTCTCATATTTATATTCACATTAGTATAAATTTCATGCCAACTATTTGTTTGTTTTGTACGCATAAGCTTTATCAGAAATATATACTTGTTCTTACCTTTAGATTTGGGAATTAGCTCTCCACAACTGAGTATCCGCACCTCAGCAAATGGTTTGCTAGCTGCATCTGTTTTCTGGTTTTCTATTTCTCTCACAACTTCTTGACCAGATATCACTTGCCCAAAAACAACATGATGCCTAGAAAATCAATTAAAGATGATCAAATAAAAGCTTTTAATTTTAACATTAATTTAAAGTGGTCATAAAATAAATTTAAATAATCTTTACCCATCTAAATGAGGCGTTGGCTTCGTTGTTCTTTGGAAGTCATCAGATAGAATAAAAACAAAGTCAGAGAAAAACAAAGTTAGCATCTCTAAAAAGGAAAAGAAAATAACTGCATTGGAAACAAAGCTGCAAACAAAGAAAGCATACGCTATTTTAACATAATAGAATCTTAATATATTAACCTTAAGTAGAACAGAAATAATGCTAGATGCTTTCTACATAATATAGTTTCAAAAACTTATTCTGATCATAAAGGTAATACCTAATCATCGTTGAAAAATTCCGTATAATTAAAGTTGACATTTTGGTGTTATTTCTATCCATCTGTCTCTTGCATATGACTGGGCTTTTATTGAATATTCATAGGTGTATAAAAGTTTTAGGGTTGTATAATGTTCTATTGTATGGACAGACCATAATTTATCAAAAGATACCACCAGTTTAAGGGTGTAACAATAGGGCTTTTCAATCTTAGCATTTTAAACAGTTAAAAGCATCGGTCAACCCCTTATCCAATGTTTTGCTTTCCACCATTTCAGTGATCCAGTCAAAACAGCAGTCAATTACAGTCCAGAAGCACACAATCCTCCAACTCACATACTGTCAGTTCAATAATAGCTAATACTACATCACAAAACCTGTTATTTACCTCACTTTATCAGGTAAGCATTTTACCATTTCACATCCTCACAAGGATGAGAATAGTACAGTAAGATATTTGGATAGAGACCACATTCATGTAACTTTTATTACAGTGTATTATTATAATTGTTGTATTTGATTACTATTGTTCATCTCTTACTATCCCTAATTTATAAACTTTTACCTAGAAACGTATATGTGTCTGTGTGTGTGTGTTATATATATATATATATATATATATATATATATATGAAAAAACATAATATATATAGAGTTCAGTATTATCTGGAGTTTCAGGCATCCACAGTGGACTGGGGGGTGTGATCCTGAAACGTACCCCCTATGGATAATGTTCAGATGGCCCTCAGACATGTTCTGGTACACCAGAACAGAAATGGTCCTTATAATGTTTATAAAATTTTCAATTAGCTGCCAATATTCAAAATTTTGGATACTTTCACATAAAAATCCTGATTTCAGACCTTTATGGAAAGCTGGAAGGTGGGCACACGGCAAGAATGGGTCAGGTTGATTATCTTTGTCTTTTTAATACAACGATTAAGTTTAGATTCTGGTCCTAACAGCTTTTTTGCTTGTTACTTGCCTAAGACCTAAAGACATTGAGCTTTTTACCCCAGTAAACAAACTACACAATGAAGCAAAGATCTGGATTAAAACTTTAGAAAAACTCAAAATAAGCAAAAAGTCCCACAAATTATGTAATTTTTTAAAATTCTATCTTGCCACTCCACAGCAACCTTAAAGCTATGTAGTTAAGAAGACTAGTATTTGAGTAGCTATGAAGACATACTGGCATAACAAACTGAAGATAAGCATTGTGTATCATTTATTATTTAAAAGAACTTACCAAAAAGCTGTTAGAAATTTGGAGGAAGGAACACAATTTAAGCTAACCTTTGGTTAAAGCCCACACAATACTAATGAAAAGAATGCAAACATGTACATGTAATTTTATAAGTTTTTAAAATTTATAAGTTTTTAAAACTAACCTATTGTTTTCTGACTGCAGCTATGCTCATGTGAACTTGCTTAAACCATCTAGAGATGTAAAAACCTTTGTGTATACCATATATGTATTTATATTACAGGTTATTCAACATATATGTATAATTTGCATCTAGATTTAGTCATTCCTCACTTCACAGATACTGTATTTGCCAAGTTCACTTACTCACTAGAATTTATTTTATTTATTTATTTTTTAAAAGATTTTATTTATTTATTCATGAGAGACACAGGCAGAGGGAGAAGCAGGCTCCATGCAGGGAGTCTGACGAGGGACTTGATCCTGAGTCTCCAGGATCCTGCCCTGGGCCAAAGGCAGCGCTAAACCGCTGAGCTACCGGGCTACCCTGCTCACTAGAATTTATTTATAACCCCTGTTTCCATGGTCATTCTCAGATTGGTAAAAAAAGGTATTGATGAACTCTTGTACAGTGCTGGTAGGAGTGTAAAATGATAACAATCATTGTGGAAAAACAGTTTAGTGCTTCCTCACAGAACTATAGAATTACCATTTGCTCTAGCAATTTCACTCTTTGGTATATACCTAAAATTGAGAAGGGACTCAAACAAATATGGATATGCCAATGTTTACTATAGCATTATTCATAATAGCCAAAAGGTGGGAACGCAAATTATCTACCAGCAGATGTATATGGATAAACTAAATGTGGTATGTGCATATAATGGAGTGATATTCAGCCATAAAAAGGAATGAAGTCCTGATATATGCTACAACAAACATGGCTGAACCTTGAAAACATGCTAAATGAAATAAGCTTGACAGAGAATATTGTATGATTCTGCTTATATATCTATAAGGCAAATTTATAAAGACAAAATAAAAGAGGTTACCGGGGCTGAGGGTAAAAAGAAATGAGTTAGTTTCTGGGACAATGAAATAGTTTGGATACAGTGGTAACAGCGACACTGTATTCTGAATATAATCAATACCATTAAGTCATACACTTAAAAATGGTTACTGGAAAATTCTGTATCATATATATTGCCACAATTAAAAACATTTTAAGATTAAAAACTGAAGTTTTCTCCTTTTTTTTTTTTTAAAGATTTATTTATTTATTCATGGGAGACACAGAGAGAGGCAGAGACACAGGCAGAGGGAGAGCAGGGAGATGCAGGGAGCCCGATGCGGGGACCTGATCCTGGATCCCAGGATCATGTCCTGAGCCAAAGGTAGACGCCTAACTGCTGAGCCACCCAGGTGTCCCAAGTTTTCTCCTTTAAAAATAATGAAACACAGAAATTAAGGAAACGTTACCTAGAAATTAAGAGAAATAAGGAAAAATCAACATACAGAGGGAAGATTCTGAAAATATACATGAAGGATAACATCAACTTAATGGAGAGGTTTTAGCACAGGAAGGATTTTGCTTTTAAAAAAAGGAAAATAAATGATAATACTAAGTGTTGTTGAGAATCTGGTAACACTGGTATTTTGCATACTGCTGATATCACAGTAGCAATATACACGGAAAGGCTTAAAAATGTATAAATAGGATGCCTGGGTGGCTCAGTCAGTTAAGGGTCTGCCTTCAGCTTAGTCATAATCCCAGAGTCCTGGGATCAAGCCCTGTGTCTGGCTCCCTGCTCAGCATGTGGGTGTGGGAAGGGTGGTTCTGCTTCTCCCTTTCCTGCTGCTCCTCCTCCCTGCTTGCGTTCTCTCTCAAAAATAAATAAAATCTTTTAAAAAAATGTGTAAACATTTCACTAAGTACACTCCTAGCAACTTATTTAAAATAAGGCATAGTACATCCAATGAATTTACATATAACTATTAAAATGCTAATTAGTACTTAGTGATGTGCCAAGAATTATACTGTATCCAAAAGTTGATTAGGGAGTATATACAGTATTTAGGTTACATTTTTATTGCAGAGAAAGATGCTCTGAGGATGGGAATGTTTTTCTTCTTTCTATCTGTGTTCTATTTTTTTCTATAACTAACATGATACAACTGGTTTTTATTTTAAAAATCAGAATGACCTGGGATGTCTGGGTGGCTCAGCAGGTGAGCATCTGCCTTTGGCTCAGGGCATGATCCTGGGATCCAGGATCGAGTCCCACATTGGGCTCCTTGCATGGAGCCTGCTTCTCCTTCTGCCTGTGTCTCCACCCCCCCCCCCCCCGGCTCTCATGAATAAATAAATAAAAACCTTGAAAAAAAAATCAGAAAGACCCCTACATAGCCATTGGTTGAATGAACTAGAGTATACTCACACAATAAAGTAATATGCAGCTGCAAAAACAAATGAAAAGGGTCTACATGAACTGATTTGGAGTGATTTCTAGGATATACTGCTAAGTGAAAAGAACAAAACACTGTATACATGCTATCTACTGTATAAGAAAGAAAGGAAAAAAAGAAAATATATATGTATTTGTGCTCATTTTTATAAAAAGAAATACAGGAAGATAAACCAGAAACTAATGAGGTGGGAAACTAAAATGGATGGGTGGGAAAAGGATGAAAAAATGGGATTGGCAATGGGATAAAGAATTAGGTGGGAGTAATACTGTAAGGTATTCTTTTTGACTCATACACTGTTTAATAAACAAAAACAACAAATCAAAACAAGGTGAGACAATAAAATATAAACAAATGAACCTAACATATTTTGAGTCACAAAACCACAAAAAATTCACACCAAAATGTACTAATCCAACTCACTTTTATTTTTTTTAATTTTTTTTAAATTTTTATTTATGATAGTCACACAGAGAGAGAGAGAGAGAGGCAGAGACACAGGCAGAGGGAGAAGCAGGCTCTATGCACCAGGAGCCCGACGTGGGACTCGATCCCGGGTCTCCATGATCGCGCCCTGGGCCAAAGGCAGGCGCCAAACCGCTGCGCCACCCAGGGATCCCTCCAACTCACTTTTAAACAGTTGTTTTAACTATATACCCTCAATCTAAAACAAAAATAACTGTAAGTAAACTGTAACTCTAGTAAGGTTATTTTTCACAGTAGCATAAAACGGTGATTTTTTATTCTAGAATTCAGCAAACGGGCAAAATTTGGAAGATAATGAGAGCCAAGTTTCTCACTGTTGAAGAAGGGAGTTACAAATGTGGAATAGTAAAACACTGGAATAATCCATATGGTGCTTACAGATTATGTTCTTCTGAGAGTAAAAGAGTTTAAGGCTATTGAGGAGTATCCATAGGACATGATAAAAAATATGCATAGTTGACAAGAGCTCTGATCAAAATTTTTTGGTGTCATAATTGGAAAGCATTAAGAGTACTGACTTTGCAACCAGAAACAAATTTTAGTGAGTACATGAATTCACAAATACAGAATCTTTGAATAATGAGGATCAATTGTATTTTATTCTTTGTAATCAAGTAATTTATAAAGAGATACTCTGTAAATATGTTTATTATTAAATTTTCCCTCAAAATAGATAATTCTTTCCTCAATCACTACTGAGATGACTGAAAATGGTGACTTTTCTATCATTCTTCTTCTATTTATTAGCTACGTTCTATTAAAAATAGGTTTTTCTTCTCCCTTGTTATTTATTCATTTATTATTTATATGTGTATAGGCTCTTGGATTTCTATTTTATTTGCTAATCTAATACTATCATTATTTATTTTGATGCTCAAGTTGTCCTAATCTGGCCAGGGGAACCTCACCCCTTCAGGCTGGCTCCTGTGTCCTTTTGACAAGTACTCATCATTTTGATAGTTTAGCAGTACGGTTCAATTTCCCTTTCAACAATTCTCCCCCCTTCAAAAATTCATTGTCCTCCTTCCTTCAAAAATTTTCCTCATTATGGATCTATTTATTAGCAATCAATGAGAAATGATGCACCAAAAAAGAGATATTTTAAATGATCACAGCACAGATACTTACATGAAGAACTGTGAACCATTTGTATCCTTCCCTCTGTTGGCCATAGACAAGAGAAATTCTTTGTTGTGTTTAACAGCAAAACTCTCATCTACAGAAAAGCAAAGTTTTCAGTTATGTTATAGGAATAACCTGCCCCAAAATTTCATTTTCACTTTGTTACCTCCTTTGTTCATATGTATTCTTTAGCACCAGACAAAATTTAGTCAGGTTAAAAGAAGAAAGAATTAAATATTAACCAATTCCCTCTCCCATTTTTTTATATTAAAGTATTTCTAATTTTCAATCCCTTGCTATAAATCCAAATACTATTACCCTTTCTTTCCTTCTGCATTTGTCTTTTGTTTTTTGGGAGGTGGGGGTAAAAAACAACACAACTGTCTTTGATTACTCAGACAACAAACAAAATGTTCCTTAAAAAGCAAGAGAAAGAAACCAAACAGGATTCTTTTACAGTTGATCTGTTTCATTTCTAAGCACAAAAAGGCACATCTACTATTTTAAGCAGAGCAAGGGACTCATTAACTTAATCTCTGCCACAGCATCATTTATTGTAGAGAGTAGCTTGCCTTCCAATTTTGGATTAGAATGTAAGAACAACACAACTGGAACGTGAAATAAAATTTCACTTAATCCCTAAAGTGAAAGATGGGAAATATGTAATTATTTCCACATTCACATGTTTGTATTCCTTTTTTTTTTTTTTGCTTGTAGTCTTTCAAATGATCTTCACACAAATAAAAAATTCCAAAGAGAAAACTTACAGTTGAGAAAAACATTATATTAAAGAGATTTAATGGACCCACTGAACATGTGGATATTTATACTATGAAATACTGTTAAATCTCTTTTAATAAAAATTAAGATTAAGCTATGGAAGTTCCTATCCTAGCACTATATTTCTAAGAGTTTAATTCTAGATCATTGCAACCCTTCAAATAATATGATGTATTAATGTCCTTAGCACACAAAAAAAATCCTACCTCTACTAAAATTCTATCACCTAAAATTTTTCACAAGAAAATTAACTTTCAGATTCATTGAATGTAGCTGGATATTAGTATAATGAATCTTATTGATTCAATAGAAAAAAATAAAATAACAGAAAAAAACATTAAAAACACAATTTAAATAAAAAAATTTTACCTTCAAAAAATCCACCATAAATAGATTCCCCTCCTCGTCCATTTCCTAAGAATGAAAAACATGGGACTCTTGAACTCTTAAGACAATAATCTCTTCGAAGGTACCCCCTAAACAAAATACCTCTTAAAAAGTAGATGCTCAAATGACTTCAAATCAAAAATACTCAAAGGTTCAAAACAAATCATAAGATTAATTTAAAGTCAATATTGTCAAGATCCCAAATTAGTTTCTTTTCCCTATGATACAACAGTAAAAATGTGGCAAAACCTAAGATACATGGAAAAAAGAACATTCAGTTTCTAATAATTATGTAGGTCTCTGAACAAAGACTACATTTTTTCAGTGTCTTTAAAAATAGTTTGTTTTATAATTTGAAAGTATAGATAAAAACATATCTAACTTTAAGATCTATTATCTTTAACAAAGCATGCATGATTTTCTTTCGTGGGAATCAAAGTCTTACCTTCACTGAAGTCACCACCTTGTACCATAAAATCCTTGACAACTCTGTGAAAAAGACAACTCTTATAATGTAATGGCTTCTGAGTTGATTTCCCCGTCCCCTTTTCACCTACAGAGAAGAAAAATTAGTAGGCCATTTAGTAGAAAGGAAATCAAAGAAGCAGTATTAAAGCAAAATTAATGACAGAAGCTTATCTCTGTAAAATACACATCTCTTAAATTATGTAGACGCCTTTATAAATTTTCACTCCCCTCAGGAATTTTTTTAAAATTCATTTAAAAATCATTAATGTTTTTCTGGAGAGTACAGAAATGTAGAAACCAATCTCAGATAAAAGCCCAAGACAAGCAATATTTCTTAAATTTTTTTTAATTTTTTTTTTTTTTTATGATAGGCACACAGTGAGAGAGAGGCAGAGACATAGGCAGAGGGAGAAGCAGGCTCCATGCACCAGGAGCCCGACATGGGATTCGATCCCGGGTCTCCAGGATCGCGCCCTGGGCCAAAGGCAGGCGCTAAACCGCTGCGCCACCCAGGGATCCCACAAGCAATATTTCTAAAAATTACTTCCACCCCATAGGGTGCCTAGGTGGCTCAGTCAGTTAAGCACCCGACTCTTGGTTTCAGCTCAGGGCATGACTTCAGGGTCATGGGATCGAACCCCACATTGGGCGCTCTCTCTCTCTCTCTCTGTCTCTCCCTTGGGGCAGCCCGGTTTAGTGGTTTAGCGCTGCCTTCAGCCCAGGGCCTGATCCTGGAGATTCAGGATCGAGTCCCACATCGGGCTCCCTGCATGGAGCCTGCTTCTCCCTCTGCCTGTGTCTCTGCCTCTCTACCTCTCTGTCTCTCATTAATAAATAATAAAATAAAATAAATAAAATAAAGATTCTCTCCCCCTGCCCCCCATCCCTGCTTGTGCTCCAAGTAAATAAATAAATAAATAAATATTACTTTCACAACTTGGTCAATGGTACATAACCTGCATGAGGAAAATTAAAATGTTAAATTAAAAAATTAAAACCACAGTCAAAAGGGGCTACTATTAGGCCAACTAAAAATGTCAACAAACCTGTACAAAGACAACGAAAGTTCTCGCATGTTTTGGGGCACACATCAGAAAATAATTCAAAGACAACTCTTCCAGCTGAAAAAGAAGAAAGCAAGTTTATACTTTACTAACTTAAAATACTAAATACTCATTTATAAATGTTACAAAGGAACATTAATTTTCTTACCAGGTTGATTATTAATGGCAATGTCAAAAAAACATCGAGGACGCTGAACCTTTATTCCCATGGCTTCAGTATTTCAACCTATGAATAAAATACAGTTTCAGGCAAACAAGCCAAAACAGCAGAAACTTTTTATAAATTTCTGGAGGAAAAAATTCTCTAACAAGAACTAGAGGGACGCCTGGGTGGCTCAGTGGTTGAGCGTCTGCGTTTGGCTCAGGGCGTGATCCTGGGGTCCCGAGATCGAGTCCTACATTGGGCTCCCTGAATGGAACCTGCTTCTCCCTCTGCCTGTGTCTCTGCCTCTCTGTATCTCTCATGAATAAATAAATTCTTAAAACAAACAAACAAACACCATAAACTAGGAATAGAATTTGAACTTCTTTTGATATTTACTTCAATGACATAAACAACATGGATTTTTTGGGGGAGGGATTAAATTGCATTTTGTGAAACAGAAAAGACAAACAAAAAACCTTAGCCATAATATTTTATTTTAACCACCAAATATAGATTGCCGCCCAAACAGAAAATTATATTAAGTCTGTATGATTAGTTAACTCAACACGCAGATTACCTTTAAATAGACAAAAATCAAGGGCAGACTAATCCAATCCTTTCACTCCTTGAAAACGAAAAGGAGAGTTTTAATTAGAATAATGTTTTAAAAAGAAAAACATTAAAATTCTTGAAAAATACCACCCAAAAATCGAGGAAGAAAGTGGGATCTTTTTACAATAGTAATAAATGGTAGGTTTGCATTCTGAGTAAAATCACATTACATATGAACCTTTACTGATATGCTAGTGTAGACACAAAACGTACCAACAGGTAAGATACTCTATAAACACTTTCATCTAATAGCACATAGCTATTACTGAACATTCTTTTGGTAAGGCATTTATTTGAAGGACTTATGTCCTTTCAATCATGATACCTGGTGGGGAATGACAGGGTAAGGTAAAGAGCAGAAGAAACAAAGTTACTTAGTTTAAATAGCAACCAAAAAAATGGACTATAAAAATGAAAATTTCATCTGCTCAGAACAGAGACTGAAATGCATATGCTTTTCTGAAAATTATCGTATCTAAGCTGGTAGCTCTGCAAGCAATGTGATATTTTAGGTCCAGTGAAGCTGTGAAAAATCTATATATTCTCCATATTAAAGAGATTCCTCTCTTTACCCATTTGTAGAGATATCTGTAGATTCACTGGATACAGTGTGTACTTTACCCAGATTCCCCCCAATGATAACATTTTAGAAAACTGTTATATAATAGCACAACTGTAGCATAAAAGCACAACAATGTTGATACAATCATTTATCCCATTCACATTTCCTGGTTTAGTAAAATTGGTACTTATCTGTGTGCTTGTATAATTATTTAGTTCTACACAATTTCATCACACATGTAGGTTTATATATCACCATCCCTTATCAATTTTACACAACCCACAAACCACAAGTCAGAATACTCAGCTTTGCCCAAATCACCAGCAATTTGAAAAATGCAGATATATACTCATTCATTTAATGATTATGTAAATTAGGGATTAAATTATGTAAAAGATTATATCGCATTCAAATTCAGCCTAAGTGTTGGTATGTTCACTTTTGGCATGTGTATGAAAAAGGGGAGAGGGATCCCTGGGTGGCGCAGTGGTTTGGCGCCTGCCTTTGGCCCAGGGCGCGATCCTGGAGACCCGGGATCGAAACCCACGTCGGGCTTTCGGTGCATGGAGCCTGCTTCTCCCTCTGCCTGTGTCTCTGCCTCTCTCTCTTTGTGTGTGACTATCATAAATAAAGAAAAAAAATATTAAAAAAAAAAAAAAAAAAAGAAAAAGGGGAGAAAATATTATTTTCTCATGACTTCATTTATTATTTCTAATAAATATAATGGATACTAAATGTTTCACAAAACACACACAAAAAAGCTAAACTTTCCATCCTCCAGTGGCCTAGACTTCCTGAAAACACAAAAACTTAGCAATTTTATTATCTTGCCAAGTTTGTTGCACTGTTTTTACTTGTATAGGATCTCAATTCCTGCACATGTGAAATTGAGAATATGCTGAATCCATAAATCTCAGGAAATTATTTTAAATACTACTTAGTACCTGACTATCCTTTATCTTCTAAATAATTTTTGCAGGCCTCCTTAAATTCTCTACTTTTAGGGATAGAGAAGAAGAGAGTTTAATGATTTATTTTCCTCCAATAAAACTTCTATAGCTACTTAGCTACTTATTTAATCACAATACCTCAGGTGGAGATTTCTATTCTTGCACGAGTACAATATACTACACTATTCTTTTTTTTATATATACACTATTCTTACAATGAGTACTATAACATAGATAATTCAGATAATACTGTCCCAAATACGCCAAATTGTTTATAATTACAGTTAATTTTCTACATACAGTACTGTGTTCTTGAAAACAATTTTAAAACCAGGCATAATTTATGAGAGGTCAGGAAAATTCCTAATTACCCTTAACCTTTTAGACACAATCTTTGATAACTACCCGAGTTTCTCAGTTCTAGGACACAATGTAAAGAATTTTATAGCTCTGGGACTTTGAAACTGCAATGAATACCACTACTCATTTATAGAATTATGGAGCACAAGGGGGAGCTACCAGGATAGTGTTTGTTTCATTTTGTTTTTTTAATCTGAGAGCTGCTTACCTGGGTGAGTTCACTTTGGGAAAACTCTGAGCTACACTTAGATTTTATGTAGGTTTTGGTACACTATATTATACTTCAAGAAAAAGTTTATTAAAAACAATAAATCTAAAATAAACTTTACTTCTCTATCCCTTTTCTCTCAAAACTCAGTAAATATTATCGCTGTACAAATCAGCTGCTAAACCGAAACTTGGAATCATCTTAGGTTGATTTAATTTTAGCTTCAAAAATGCACTCACCATCTTTACCATTATTATTTCTCATTTGGAATACTACAACAGCCTCTTAACTGGTTTCCCTGCTTTTACTTAGTCCTCTATTACCTATTCTCCAGAGGATAACCCAAGTGAAGGGTGATCCTTTAAAAGTACAATTTAGGGATCCCTGGGTGGCGCAGCGGTTTAGCGCCTGCCTTTGGCCCAGGGCGCGATCCTGGAGACCTGGGATCGAATCCCACATCGGGCTCCCGGTGCATGGAGCCTGCTTCTCCCTCTATGTCTCTGCCTCTCTCTCTCTCTGTGACTATCATAAATAAATAAAAAAATTTAAAAAAATAAAAGTACAATTTATTAGACACCTAGGTGGCTCAATTGGTTAAGCGTCTGCCTTCAGCTCAAGTCATGATTGTAGATTGTAGACTCAATCCCACATCGGGCTCCCTGCTCAGCAGTGAGCCTCTTCTCCTTCTCCCCCTTGCTACTCCCCCCCTCACTCAAGATGGATCTCTGTCAATAAATAAATAAATTAAATAAATAAATAAGATCTTTTTTAAAAAGCACAATTTACCACTTCATTTCTCTGCCTAATATTTTCTAAATTTTTTTTTTTAATTTATTTATGATAGTCATGGAGAGAGAGAGAGAGAGAGGCAGAGACACAGGCAGAGGGAGAAGCAGGCTCCATGCACCGGGAGCCCGATGTGGGATTCGATCCCGGGTCTCCAGGATCGCGCCCTGGGCCAAAGGCAGGCGCCAAACCGCTGCGCCACCCAGGGATCCCATGCCTAATATTTTCTAACATCTATCACATTTAATCAGAATGTCTTTCCATGGATTTTAAGAACCTAAACCAGCACTGTCCAATAGAAATATGGGACACATGTACTTTAAAAAATTTTAATAGCCACATTTTAAAAAGAGGGATGCCTGGGTGGTTCAGTGGTTGAGCATGATCGACCTTCGGCTCAGGGCGTGATCCTGGAGTTCTGGGATCGAGGCCCCCATCGGGCTCCCTGCATGGAGCCTGTTTCTCCCTCTACCTGTGTCTCTGCCTCTCTCTGTGTCTCCCATGAATAAATAAATAAAATCTAAAAAAATAAATAAAAGTAAAAATAAACAGGTTAACAATGTTTTATTTAACTCAGTATGCTCAAAATATTATTTCAAAATATAATCAACATAAAAAATGTGATGAGATATTTCACATTCTTTTTTGAGTACTGCATCTTAGAAATCCAGTGTTTATCAATTCAAAATAGCCATGTTTCAAGTGCTCAATAACTGCATGTGGCTCATACCTGTGTGTGGACAGCACATCTCTCAATATTTTAGCCTCTATTAACCTTTACAACTTTATCTAACATTCTTCTCAATTTTGCTTTGACATGTTCCAGCTGTTGTTCAAACATCCCAAGGCCTAGTCCTTCATCAGGTCTCCCTCATCTTTGTTTTCTCCACATGGGATGCTCTTAGCCCAGATCTTCACTTGGTTCATTCCCTCATTTAATTTAAATCCTTGCTCAAGTATCCCCTCCACACAGAAACCAATCTTGACCAGTATATTCAAAGGACCAGCCTCTGTCCTCCAACACTTTACATCCTCTTACTTGCCTTATTTTTCTTCCCAGCATTTGATATTTTATTATAAATTTAAGTTTTTATATCTAGTCTTCTTACTAGAACATAAGCTCCATGGTGTGATAAACCTTTCCAGTTTTGCTCTCCTCTTAATTCCTTGTGCCTCAAATAGTGCTTGGCTATGGCAAAAAAATCAGTATTTAATAAATACACGAATATGTATGAAAGATTAGGCATGTGTGAAAATGCAGTTTTGCAACACTTAACAACAACAAAATGGAAACATCCAAAATATCCCAAATGAGAGAAAACCTGAATAAATCCTAATATATACATGCTATTTAATATTAAACAGCAGTTTACAAAGTTTACTCTATCCAAAAATCCTACTACTTAGTTGAAAAGGGAAAAAAAAAAGCAATTTGCACATAAGTATTTTTTTTAAGATTTTATTTATTCATGAGAGACACACACAGAGAGAGAGAGAGAGAGAGAGAGAGAGAGAGAGGCAGAGACACAGGCAGAGGGAGAAGCAGGCTCCATGAAGGGAGCCCGGCGTGGGACTCGATCCCAGGTCTCCAGGATCACGCCCTGAACTGAAGGTGGCGTTAAACTGCTGAGGCACCCAGGCTGCCCCAGTATTTTGTTTATACTCTAAAATAATAATACTCTATCTATTTCTACAGGTAAAGAGTTACATAGCAAAACTAACAATACTCTGCAGAGGGGACCAGGAATAGGGATGGAAGTCAATGGGAGTCTTTAAATATAAGGTTCAGGGATCCCTGGGTGGCGCAGCGGTTTGGCGCCTGCCTTTGGCCCAAGGCGCGATCCTGGAGACCCAGGATCGAATCCCACATCAGGCTCCCGGTGCATGGAGCCTGCTTCTCCCTCTGCCTCTGTCTCTGCCTCTCTCTCTCTCTGTGACTATCATAAATAAATAAATTAAAAAAAAATTTTTTTAAATAAATAAATATGAGGTTCAAATTTTTGCAATGAGAATATATTCATGTATGTTTCCCAATTTAAAATTAATACAATTTAAGGATATATCTACATAATAACATAAAATATAGGAAATACATGACAATACCAAGAGCCTATCTCTATATGAAAGAGTCATATGGGATTTTTTTA